ATAAATCAGGAACAAAAACAGATGTTAACAACTATAGACCAATATCAGTAATATCCAGTGTAGCAAAGGTTTTTGAAAAAGTTTTATCTACTAGAATGATTCGATACCTCACAAGATTCAAAATTTTAAGTGAAAATCAATATGGATTTACAGAAGGGAAGGCTACAACGGACGCAATAACTAATATTGTAAATCAAATACATCAAAATATTGATAACAAAATCCCTTCAATCTGCATTTTTGTTGAGTTAAAGAAAGCTTTCGACACAGTTAATCACAAATTATTATTGGAAGCATTGGAGAGAATTGGTTTCAGAGGAAACGCGTACTAACTGATCGAAAATTATTTGTCAAATCGTCCACAATCTGTGCAGATATCAGGATCGTTTAGTACGGAAATGTATATTAAGTGTGGTGTCCCACAAGGAACTGTCTTAGTTCCGCTATTATTCAATATTTATTTAAATGATATTTACCAAATTAATTGTGTTGGCAAAATAACCAGTTTTGCAGATGATACTGCAATATTGTATGAAGGCACTGAATGGTCTGATCTGAAAAATGTAATTGAAAATGATTTTATCAAAATTATTAGGTGGTTTAACAGTAGAAAATTAAGCATTAACTATTCTAAAACACATTTTTTACCATTTGGATCTTATGCTAGACCTCTGCCAAATTACACAAATTTTTCCTTCAACATTAATGATAAAAAAATGCAAATTAATAGACTGCCCAACATAAAATACCTTGGAGTGGTCTTGGATCCTCACTTATTATGGGACATCCATGTCAATTATATTTTAAAGAAAGTTAGATTTGTATCCTACAAAATTAAATACCTTGGGAATATATTGACAAAAAAATATCTTCGAACATTATACCATGCACTGATTGAGCCTCATCTCACATATGGTATATTAGCATGGGGAGCTGCATGTTCCTCACATATCTATAATTTAGATGTTTTTCAAAAAAGTATTCTAAAAATGATATTTAAAAAACCAAAACTTTATCCCAGTGACAAATTATACGCAGATGTTCGGATGTATGATATAAGAAAGCTTTATTTCTTACACAGTATCACTCACTACCATAAATTTGTAAACACCGACCAAAAAACTAAACATAATCATTATACAAGGTACAAAATTCGTGGCACAGTAGTTCCTCAGCCGCATAAATCTATAATGCAGCGGTCATATCTCTATTTAACGCCAAAATTTTATGAAGTTATACCTAAAGACTTAAAAGATTTACCTTTCGGAAATTGTTTCAAAAGAAATTTTAAAAAGTGGCTACATCCTATATCTAAGGCTGAAATTCATAAACTCATAAATACTAACATCAAGTAAATACATAATCTACTGTAACTAATTTTGTCCTTTTTTGTCATTTGCATTCTACAGTTGCACCTTAAAATTATTGGTCCATGTACAGGCGATGCCTTCTATTGGGTCTGTTTAGATTTTATATTTATTTACTCATATTGTTTGTTATCTTTGTACATTGAGTGAATAAATATTATTATTATTATATTATTATTGTATTGGCGTTGGTGTTTATTTTTCGTCTATTCTCTTCTTCATCGCCTTCTTGTCGCTGTGATTTTCCATTTACGATATCAGTGTCACGAATCTGTTTAGGGTTACGGTCATATCATACTCGAAGTTAAATGTAGTCTTTTTGTCATCTAATCAAAAAGGTTTGCATGACTTGTGTCCATGTACAGACTCTTACACGATATCGATTTCTGTCTATATCCAGCGTTGAAAAATTTTTGAATGTTTCCAATTTTGTTCTGCCTCACCTGCCTCCACCAAGTGTTTGAGCCTCATGCCGTCTATATTATTATATGTTCAAGCTAAAAAAGTCACATGAAGATATTTAGATGCTAGAACTTATTCGTAGCGTTAAGTACAGTTAGACGTTTTGTTATATTCACAACATTCACGTCGCAATTTGTAAAAGTGGTAGATGGGGCGACATTGATCTTCAAACTGTCAACATGATTCAACTGTTGGAAAGTTTGTCAGCATGAGTTAGAGTTCATCAGTGAACCTAAGAATCTGTGGATCTCATTCAATAATTCCAGGCTGGTTCAAAGAAATCTTGCAAGACCTGGCCGGGTTCTTTAATGTTTTGCAGAAATGGTGGATGTGCATGCCGTTGAGGGCTGAAGTTAGCACACATTTATGCCGACTAATTGTCTTATTTTTTAAGTCACAGATGTCTCTATCAATTAGTTACCAAACTAATGAAAGTTCATCGGTACAGCGCTTTTATGATGAATAACAGCCTCTGACAGCCAAGTGAAGAAAAGTGTCAGACTGATAAAGTTATCCCATGCTACTGCTATTCGGAAGTAATTACCGAAGTGTATCAAATATTACCGATAATTTTATGGAAGCGTATTCTCTAAAAACTGCATGAGTTGTATAAGTATTTGCCGAGTTTCCCATATTTATGCATGTCAACATACAAATGCACATTTCATCAATCGTAACTATAGCTATGGACCTATAGGGAAATTTTCGATACCTATTGGGCAATTTTCACTGAAAATTTCCCATTGTCTAGGTAACGGAAAATTTTCGCTGTAATTTTGCGATAATTCCGCACCCGGTGTGATATTTTTTATACATGAGGGAGATATTCAGCATGAAAGCGCTGTACCACTGGACCGCTTTACGTTCGCTGAACGGTCCCAACACCTTAACGTATGTGTAGATATTTGTGTTTTCCCTTCTTTTGTGATGGTGACTGGGCCCTTGTAACTTTTTTCAATTAGAATTAGAGGTCATGTGATACCCTTTTGCAAAGTCCTTATGAGTCCTACTTTATAACCATAGAGTATATATTAATATCTCACAAACTAGCGACACTTATAAAAAAAATTAAATATCCAGTTCAGTTTAGTAGTTTCGCAGGTTTATCGTTATGATACGTTATATCAATCTTTTTCCTTTGCAATGGTCTATCTGAATGTGCAATCAAATATAAGATATACAATTAAAGTAAATGGCAGAAGTGGAAGCTTAACATTTTATTACATTTTCGAATAGATCCTCCCAAAATAAGATTGATATGAAATACTCGTACTATGGTGTTTTTATGATTGGTTGTTGAGTTATAAGCGACTTGATTTACCATAATGCTCAAATTGTGGCAACTTGTCAGTACAGCATTTTCAAAGATGATGATTTTATATTCTAGACTTATGCTTACTGATAGAGAGGTTCATGATACCATGTTATTACCCCGACTTTCAGATTGCTCATTCAAAAAAGTATTGGGGAACCTTTATGAAAAACACTGTTTATCTGTCAAATCCACAGTTGTCTCTGCCGTGCATCATGTTGAAGGTAAAAGAATATCGCAGGAATGTGTGCACTTCTTCTGAGAATTTATAAAGCTTTATACAGATCGTTTGGGTCATTATTGATATGACTATGATAACTAGTTGATGATAGATGCTACGTACATTACACCTTGCTGGCACCCATGTAATTACCTGCAACAAAAGAAAATCAATGTTAAAGGATTGTAAATAAGAAGACCCACATGGTAATTTTAGTTACAAGGCCTAGATTATGAATAATAACGAACAAAATAACCTCATCTATCTCAGCTGTAAGGTGTAATGCCTCATCGCAGGCATAGGCAAAAGGATCGGCGAACTGATATAAGACAAAATTCATGCTAACAAGTGAGAACGTAGTTGTAGGCTGAAGACAATTTTTTCTCTTGCTGTAAAACTGGTACCGTTTTTTATCAACACTCCTCTTCTGCTGCTCGGATGTTCTGGACGGCAAGTTTTTCTTAACTTTTCGACGTAGCCTATCCGAAAAGACTTTTTAGGCCACACTGGAACAAAGGTCTTTCTTATTTTCTTCTGTTCTTCCTTTTTCTGTCTGACTCTTCACTGTGCCTACCGGAAACTCCCGTACATTGGACAAAGTTGTATTTTCTTCACCCTGCTGCAAAGCTCCAACAACCTCTGAGGAAGAACGATATCTCGATTCACCATGTGCCGATAAACTTTATTGAATCGGATCCCGAGTAGCCTACTTTACTAACTACATAACTAACGTTACATATTACAGTTAAAGGCGGGTTCTCATTAGTCAAACGTACTGATTCTGATGAATATATGCCATTGAACCTAGTATAGATTGGTAAATTTGAACACCCTGTGCAAATCGATAGAGCAATATGGTTGACCGGATGTTCACATTAGACTACTTCAATTCAATGGCATAGATTCATTATTACTGATCAATACCTTTATGGCCTCCTTGATTTTATGGTTTTCTACTGTTTTGTGTCAGCGCTATATTTTGAGGTTGTGTCACAATTATCTATTTGCATCAAATTGTTTATGCTTTTGATTTATATGTGTGTTTTATCAGCCTGAAATTTCCTACAAGTCAAAATGAAAACATAACTCCACAATCGGAGAGCTCTGACGCTGAAGCGGAACAGAAGAAATCTAAAAATACTCCAGCCTTTCTGAGGGAAAGAAAAGGCTATGAAAATCAAGGAGGCCATAAAGGCGTCCTACAATTGTAGGAACGATTGACGGCCCTTAGGTGTGACCCTCAGGTATGCATAACCCGGAAGTTTTTGGTAAGTCATTCATGTACTCTTCTCCTTGATTAATACATGATACATTGACTGTTTTACACACTGTTAGTTTATTGAGTCTATTGCTATAATTTTTCTAGCCACCTACGGGTCCTGTAGCTACACTCTGCAGGTTATCATCAGTAATTCATTAACCCTTACGACAACATGGGGTGGCGCGTGACCCAGCCGAATAATATTTAAGTCATATTTCTTACGAATTTTCCGCGGCATCCGTCTCCCTCCACTCACCTTTCAAGCTTGGTCATTAGTATTATCACAGAAAGCGAGGAGTGCGGTCGACGATTATTATCCAATTTATAGATTATTGGGGTCGCCCGTGGCCCGTGTTGTTATTTGCGGAATAAAAAACCATGTCTACGCATAAAAGGTATTTAAGTGACAAAGAACCCGAAGAGATTGTAAGACGCTATGAAAGAGGGGAAGAGGATAGTGACTGTAGTAATAATGACTTGGTTGATAGTGGAAGTGAAGCTGAACATCGTGAGGAGGAAGAACAAGTGAAGACGGACGAAATAGTGTATCAGCCTACTAAAGACGAGTGATCCGACGTTGAGATACAGGTAGAAGATCTACAAAGAAAAGAGATTTGTGAGAAAAATGGTTACAAATGGAACTCGAAACCTTCTTATGCAAAAAATACACGAACGATGAAGAAAAATTTGGTTCTGCATCTTCCTGGACCTAAAGGGGCAGCAAGTTCTGCCAAAACCAAACATGAGGTGCGGAAATTATTTTCTGATGAGAACATCATGCATACAATTGTTAATCATACAAATGAAGAAATAAGCAGAAATAAGACACAGTTTTCAAGATCACAAGGATATACATGACAGACCGATAAAACGACGCTTTTTGGTTTACCAGACATAAGTGGTATATTGAAGAATAATCATGTAAAACTAGAGGAGATGTGGTCTAAACAGTATGGCGCACCAATTTTTAGAGCCACCATGAGCAAAAACAGATTTTCTTTTCTTATAACAAATCTCCGATTTGATGATAAAACAACCCGAAACCAAAGGAGAGAGTTAGATAAATTTTGTGTTATTCGAACTATTTGGAAAAGATATGTTGAAAATTGTCGAAAACACGCCATCGGAATACACTACTGTTGATGAACAACTTAAGGGTTTTCGAGGCCGCTACCATATATTGGCAAAGAAGATCGTCCAACTAACCTTCCTTTACCCACAAAATATGTTCTAAAGTTATCCGAACCAATTCACAAAACTAATAGGAATATCACGGTGGATAATTGGTTTTCCCCTATGAACATGGCAAACTCATTGAAGGAAGTAGGTCTAACGTTTGTAGGAAAAATAAACCAGAAATTCTAACCGAATTTCTTAAACCACAAATATTAGAGCCTAACAGATTTGCTTTCGATGGAGACGTAGTTTTGGTGTCTCATACTCCCAAAAAAAAGCTAGTAATATTATTATGTCAACAATGCATAACGATAACGAGGTTGACCAGAATTCAGGGAAATCCAAAATTAATTTATTTTACGATGCTACCAAAGGTGGAGTCGATCTTTTTGACCAGCTATGTCACAGTAAATGCGTATCAAGAAGAACGAAAAGATGGCCTCTTAGAGTATTATACGGTTATGCTTGATGGGGGTGCAGTGAATTCTTATGTGATCTACCAAGCCAATAGTTCTAACACTATGAAAACACCGCGACGAATGTACCTAATGCAGCTGGGTGAAGAGCTTGCCAAAGAACACATGAAGAGGAGGCTTGAAGTAACAAATTTATCACGTAATCTAAGGTAACAGAATGAAAAAGCTGCTTATCGATATAATATTGTTTGTTTTGTTTCAGGCAGCAGATTTTAGAGGTGTTGGATATAGCAGAAAGGGATATTGCAGACCAGGTACCTCCTATACTGTAAACCAAAGGAAACAAAGGCTGCTTCATATGTCCCAGAAGTGTAGACAGAAAAGGCTGAGATAACTGTGTAACATGCAAGCGTAATTTGTGCGCCGAACACAGACAGACTATTTGTTGATTTTGTATTTAAAAATAATGTATTCCTTTTTTTTCTGACTAAAACTAATTAAAATACGTCTGGCTTTGTTTTTATTATTGAAAAATATCATCCATAACAGTAATTCTGCTTGGAGTCATATTATGCGACCCGATGTTGTCATTCCTGTATGAATATTTTCATGTTGTCATTTAAGGGTTAAATTACATTTTGAGCAGTTTCAGGGACTGGCGATGTTTTTAATTCACCTCCACCCGGTGGAAAATCCCTAAATCTCACGACGTAATCCCTGTCAGAGGAAAATTTATGTTACGAGGGAGGAGGGACCGCACAGGGTGGGAGGGTGTGTGTGTGTATGTTACGAGGCAGCCACCCCCCTTTTTCAAATCGTAACACTAGTGACCACGCATTCTACTAAGGAACTAATAATGATCATCCGCCTTCTCCTATCCCTTCTTATCGTAACCAGTGAAGAAAAAGTATGATGAATCTCCTTTAAGCCTCCATAAAGATCGCAGCGCCAGGCCGCGAAATCTGCATATTTCACCCATAGATTTCAGGTCTGAAGAGTAATCGCGCCCCCTAAAGGTTACAATATAAACGCCTGTCGTTTGCGTTTGGCAGCTTTCTCGCCCCGTCTTTATTTGTTAGCGGGGGCTGCTCACCACACCTGTCGTATAATTCGCTTTCGCCGTTTGTCTCTCGCCACAAAGAGATCCCACAAAGGATGGCGCTTTTTTAATCCAGTTGCTCAGAGAATGCTTATGGTATCCACACAAGTATTACTCCAAACAGGTTAGGACCAAAAGGTCTCATTGTTTGAGCTTTCCTGAGTCATCTAACCTGAGATGCAATTAACGCCTTGCAAAGCAAAGGAAAGCTTAGATTAAAAAATGACCGAAAAAAATATAAAAATCACAAAGTATCAGGGGGTCACTTATTCAGCGTGTCCCGAAAAAAGTGTGCAATATTCTACCAGCGGTTTCTAGAGCTTAAAATAGGAAGAAAAGTTTATATAAACATAGGTCGACAAACGTCCCCTAAGGGCGCTACGGTGTTTTAAAGGGGCTCCACTGAAGATGGTTTTTCTTTGATATTTCCGAAACGTGTTGAGATCAAGACATCAAATTTGGTAATCTAGCCCAGATTTTTATGCGGGATTTAAAAATATTAACAATTTTAGATAGTTTTGTTTGGAAGCGTATGTAACAGGGACGGACTCAGGTTATTTTAGCCCCAAAATGTTTGTGTGATTCTATTTTTGAAATTCAATTCTTGAATTTGAAAATTTAGGGCTTTCTACATATAAAAGGTACTCTTATTGAATCTCGATAAATTGTGCCATTTTTGAATAAAATCAAACTAAAAAACTTGTCAAATGATAGGAAATGTACTGCGAATTAAAACGAATTGTTGAATAATTAGCCATGGCAACGAAAAAACTAATTTAACAATTGGTAAATATTACATAAATACATATTTCTATTGCAACACAGCTAACATTTAGGCAAAAACAAAAGAAATAATTTTTTTCTACGAACGAAATTGAATTTTGTTTAAAAAAGAAGACATACAGTTGGATATACTTAAAACTAGCTTTACAATAAGTGTTCAAATAAATTCCCATTTTGTTGAATACAGAGTCTCGCTCGACGAACTAATGATTGCGTAGCCCGAAAAGTGGAAAACCTTTTTCTTCTTATTTCATTTGCAGCCTGATGGATTCTTTGAAGTAAATCTTCTTGAGTATTTACTTCAGTCGAGTAAACTAGGTCTTTTAACGATCCCCAAAAATAGAAATTCAACGGATTTAGGTCTGGTGAACGTGGCGGCCACGCTGTAGGACCTCCTCGAACATTGCGTCCAAAATGTATTATGGTATTATATCCATGAGCTCATTCTGAAGAAAGTTCAGATAGACCTCTGAATTAAAACGATTGGGAAGTACAATAGGCACAACTACTTGATCCTCAATTACTCCTGCCTATAAGTTCAATGGATATCTATGTTGGAAATTTGTACGGCGAACAACTTTTGGATTTTCATCTGACCAGTGATGCATGTTATGGAAATTAAAAGCACCATTCCTAGTAAATATTGACTCATCTGACCATAATATTCTAGGAATAGTGTTTTCATTTGCTAATATCCACTGGCAAAACTCGATTCGTGGTAAAAAATCTGCTTCCGTTAAGTGCTGCGCCCGTTTAAAATGATAAGGATGTAATCCTTGCATTCTTGTCATTCTTCCTACCTAAAATTATTATTTTTAGGATAACTATCAAATAGATATTCATAATTTTTTCTTACTATTGATCGAGGTATATCCGTAATTTCTAAAACATTTCGTATGCTTATTTGCGGATTATTTTCAAACATATTTAAAGCAATATCCATACGATGATCTCCCAGTGGCCTTCCTTCCTTCTTTAGTTTGATTTTATTCAAAAATGGCACAATTTATCGATATTCAATGAGAGTATCTTTTTTATGTAGAAAACACTTGATTTTCAAATTCTAAAATTGAATTTCAAAAATAGAATCACACAAAAATGTTGGGGCTAAAATAACCTGAGTCCGGCCCTCTTACATACGTTTCCAAACAAAACTGTCTAAAATTGTTAATATTTTTAAATCCACCATAAAAAACTAGTCTAGAATACCAAATTTTATGTCTTTATCTCGACACGTTTCGGAAATAAGGAAAAACCATCTTCAGGGGAGCCCCTTTAAAAGATCGTAGCGCCCTTAGGGGACGTTTGTCGACCTATCTTTATATAAGCTTTTCTTCCTATTATAAGCTCTAGAAACCGCTGGTAGATATTGCACACTCTTTTCGGGACACCCTGTTTAAGGTGGTAGTATCAGTAGATGCAAAATACGTATTTTCATTTTCATTTTGTATCTAAGATACATTTCAAAATTGTAGTTGTATCTGCTATTCAGATACCTTTCGTATGGAATCTTAGGGTCTGGTAAATACCATGTCTGCTAAAACACTTTTTGTAATTGATACTTATGCACTTCACTAAATTTGCCCTTGAAACTTCTGCCTGGGGCCATATACAGGGTGTTTGGTGCATCGTTTGCTAAATTGAAATGGCGGACGGAAGAGGTCTTTTTCTATCACCCCAGGTCCCTCAAACAGTTTTCAGCCCAACGGAATTAATTATTTGGTTTTTTGATTCTTTTTTAGTAAGAACTCCAAAATGTGATACACAAAATGAAATAAAAAAAAACAAAGAGCATGTTCGCCTAATGATTAACTTATCTTAATGGGTGATGTTGTACCAATCTTACAAAATCAACATTACTTGCCAGCAGCATGTGGTTTTTTATTTATAAACTCACAAAGTGTTACAAATAAGAACAAAATAATGTAAGTCTCAATCTTGAATTTCTTTAAAAAAAAACTAAAAGCGTTCACGTTCTTAGAATTGTTCTAAAACTACTCTAGTTTATTCTGATTCTAACGGTATGCCTCAAGTCTCAGAAAAGTTGAAATAATTTCCTGAATTTGCAAATTTTGTGTACAGGGTCAAATTTTTTAGGTCGGATAATAACAATGAATTTTTGTTTCTGTTGTGTAATTTACACGTCCAACGTAACTGAGGTAAAAACTTGTGTCTACCTCGTACACAACGGAGCAGTTGAGCGGCGAACCGACAGGGACGACGTGGGTCCATTTTTCCATCGAGGTTCGTCTCTGCTGGCTGCCTAAGGCTTTTGTTACTTCTACGTAGTGCCGCAACCTGCGACTGTTGTTGTTTGGTCAGTTTTCGTTGAGTTCTGTTTTGATGATGGCTGCATTTACAAATGAACAGTATGCAGACATGTTGTTGGTGTACGGACAAGCCAACTGTGTTGCACGAGCAGGGCAAATATTCTACGAAGAGCGCTATCCTAACAGGCGTGTACCTACTCGCCACACATTCCAAAACACTTATCGACGCTTACGAGAAACCGGTACTGTAAGCAATAATGTACCAAGAGGTGTCGTAGTGCGACACAATGTTGACATCGATGAGATAATTTTGGCATTTGTCGAAGAAGATGATACTCAAAGCATCCGAAATGTAGCTTCATCACTGCGAATTTCAAACTGGAAAGTGTGGAAAGTACTTCGCCAGAATAATAAACATGCCTTTCACTACACTCCTGTACAAGGTAATTTTTTTAACACACGTGCATCTGTCTGCAATGGAAAATTCTTATGACTTTTATTTAGCACATAGCGGCGGCAAACTAATGTTATCCGTATTTTTTGGATTGCAGGTCTTGAAGACAATGACTTCGACTACCGATTCCGGTTTTGTCGTTTCTTGCTGCACACAGACGTGGACGATCCGGACTTTTTGAAAAGTATTCTGTGGACGGGTGAGTCCAAATTCACCAAGATAGGGATACTAAATTTGCACAATCTGCACCATTGGGCTTCTAAAGATCAGAACCCAAAAGTGAAGAGGCCAAGCTCTTTTCAGAGAAGATTCAGTGTGAATGTTTGGGCAGGAGTAATTGTCAATCCTGTGATTGGGCCACGTTATTTGCCAGATCGTCTTAACGGAGATAATTATCTAGATTTTCTGCAAAATAAGTTGCCCGAATTAGTGAATGAGGTGACAATTTTCAATGGCGATAGACGAATTCTGTTCTAACATGATGGCTGTCCTGCACACTGGAGGCTAATTGTGCGGGAACATCTAAATCAGGCCTCTCCAACTCGGGCACTTAGTGCTGGTGCGCTCCGGTGCTGAACCCAGCGGCACCGGTGCCGTTCCCCCCACCATGACCGCACAGCCATCGAGACAAAGAAAAACGTATTAGCCGACTGTCTCTCGGGCGCGGGCCATTTCCTAATAGGACAAGACTAAGTGGACAGGTTTTTTAGCGTCTTAACGTGCATC